TGCTTGCTATGTTTATGTGTACTTTTGCATATAAAGAAGAAAGAAATGTCTAGTAAGAGTAGAGAAATGAGCATGAGATCCATTCATGAATTGTACATTTGCATAAAGAGAACCTTTGCATTTACTTCAAATGTCCATGAACTTTCAAGGGAACATGAGCCATTAGAGTTTCATAATGAGCATAAAAGAATTTGTCATTTCTATGTAATTGGAATGAAAGAAGAGTTGTCTAAATTTATAAGAAAGTCCATTCCACCTACCTCAATCCTTGTACCTCTTTCGTTGTCCGATCAAATTCTTTCCCTCCACACGGTTATTATCTTAGCCTTATCTTAGTCTCCCCTACGATTTTCCCCAAGTTTGGCCGCCGGAATCCGCCGCCAGAGCCGCCCGAAGAAGCCTGTCTCGGTCCGTCCGCTCCCTCTCGTTTGTCCGCTCGGTTTGGGCGAAATGACCGAATGGGGGAGAGTGGGGAGGTTTCGGTTTGCCTAATAGGGAGAAATGGGATTGGCCAAAAGACCTAATTTGCCCTCACTTAAGCAAATTCGACCTTTTTAATGCTTAGGGGTAAAGTTGGCATTTCTAATCTTCCGAATTTAATAATTCCCAAAATACTCATAATTTAATATAGGTTATATATATCAAAATTAAGGATGTCAATTTTTGACACGACCCGAAACACGACCCGAACCCGACCCGGAAAAATCCAGGTTCGGGTCAACCCGAACCCGAATCGGGTCGGGTTCGGGTTGAACAAATCAACCCGTTTTAAAAATCGGGTCGGGTTCGGGTTGACCCAGCAACCCGAAATTGACCCGAAAGTGACACGAAAACTCATATTTGACCCGAAAACCCGAGGTCGACCCATTTTTTGACCCGATTATGACTCGATTTTGACCTGAAAATTGAATTTTGACCCGATTTTGACCTGAAAATTAGCAATTTTAGATCAAATTCGGGTCATTCGTGTCGGGTCGGGTTGACCCGGACCCGAATCGGGTCGAGTTCGGGTCAGGAAACCTGACCCGTTTTTAAAAACGGGTCGAGTCGGGTTGACCCGAACAGTGCCGGGTCAGTTTCGGGTTCTACCCGAACCCGACCCGCTGACCCGAATTGACATCCCTAATCAAAATGATCAGAATTTTGCGCTCTATTTTTTAAAATTATTCCTGTCGAAATTCGACAACCTTGAATTTTTCACTTAAAACTCATCGCTGCGCTTTGAAAGCGTGCGAGATCTAAAATGTCATTTTGCGGGTTTTACACCACTTCTATTTTGAGATATGATGAACAGGTCGAAGATGTTATGGATGTCAAAACTACAATAACTCGACATGGTGAGCACATGAGGTTCTTTGCTAAATGAAAAAATCGTCCTTTTACAGACTGTACTTGGATGGATGCAAAAGAGCTTGAAAAATGCCATCCGGAGCTTTATAAAAGAGTTGTTGAAGCTTTCTCATCAGGAGATGAGATTTTTCCACCAAGGGAGAATTGATGCATTCATGTTGTTAGTTTATTTTTGTTTTAATGTATTTTGAACAAAGTTAGTTGTGTTTTATGTTTTTTAAGCTATTCTATGATGGTTGGGCTTCCAATGATCATGGTAGGAAGGTGCTTATTAGGCATGGCAATCCTTGGATTTGCTTGCTCTTGGGTCCATTTTGTCCTTGGGCTGCTTGCTGTTATCAATTTGGAGTTGTTTGCTATTTTCGGGTGGACCTTGGCTGCTTGGTGATGACCTCATAAATGTGGATTCCATTTGGTGTTAGCTCATAAATGTTTGAGCTGAAGTTTAGCTCAATGATTGGGGAATAAATGCACTTCTTAGCTCATTAATTCAAAATGGTATGTTATTATTACAAGCTCTTTATGTTGGAGGGGACATGTGTCTCTTCCCTTCCCTTTGTCTCTTCGGTTTCTGTTGGCTGTTGCTGTTCCTGTGGTCCTCCCTCTCGGTTTTCCCCTCCTGGCTGCTTTTCCCGTGAACTGCTGCCTTGTCTCCTGTGCTGGCTCTTCGAGTTCCTTGATGGCTGGTTTCCCATGGCTGCTGGTGGGGTTTTCCGTGGGTTGCTTCCCTGTTTTATGTGCTGGAATTCCTGCTGGTTGTTGGTGTCTTTTGGCCTTTCATTTCCCCAATTCTTATTGGATTTGGTTGGAGGTGCTATGACTGTTTATCTTCCTTCTTTTGCCTATAAAATAGAGTTGTTTTGGGATGGAATAGGTTGTTGAAAAGCTGAGTAGAATCTCTACAAAAACTGAGGGTTTTTCCTTGGAAAAGCTTGAGAGCTTGTTCTACCCTCCCTTTCCTCCTCTCTAATTCATCTTGGCTTATTTAAAAATTTTCTTTTGTATTAGAACTATCCTCAGTTCATTTTCTTAACATCCTAAATCATCTTCTCACCATCCCTTTCTAAATCTGTCGCCCAAGTCTAGGCTGAATCTTTCCAAGTTGATTCCAATCCCTATTTGAACATCAAAACTCTTTGAAATTTGATGAAAATCTCCATAATTATTCTTAACACTCTCGTTATCTACTTCCAAGTGTTTTTGAGTCCTAGAATGCACACCAATTAAAGCCTTAAAAGCCTAAGACCTACTTGTCAGCATTCGTCTATAATTCTAACACCTATGCACGTCAGCTTCTTAATGCATGTAAGTTGAACACCACTCCATTCCAATCTTCCTAAGGCTTCCCCATCATTCGTATTTATGAACCCTCCTAGTGCCAAAAAAAGTAAACCATCAAGGCTAAACCTTGGCGGCCACATCTATGTAAGTCTGAATACAACTTTTATTTGGACTTTTTCTTATAAAAACAAGCTTGCTAATAAAAAAAGGAAAAAAAATGAGATTTATATATCTTACCCTTGTATATTAGATATACCTGAGAGGAGACAACCCATTGTTATTAATTAGATTCCTTAAATATTATGATGTATGACACTGGCACATCTTGCAATCAATGAACAACGAGATTTTAATTAGTCTATCTTCACTTCCAAAACCATCTCTGCATTAATCAAAATCCAAAATTTTCACCTAAGCCAATAATCATGCCTATGTAACCATTCTTAAATGAGAGTGCTTTCGTATGAGCAGGAGTAATGATTAATTTTTGGGGCTTGCGCCATTAGAAATATCTTGAGAAATCTGATTAAACTAAACCTAATATACCTTAGAAAAAAGGAAAATTTAATCATGAATCTGTGGTGGTTGCTTTTTTTGAGTGAATAGTTGATCATAATCATTAATAAATCAAGCTTCGAATTGTTCAGATTTGTTCATTTTTCAATCAAGTATTTATAAAATTATTCATGCTTGTTTGTTTTGTTAATTAAATGATTATGAATGGGCTCTAACCACCATATAATGAGAAATTAACGTTTGTAGAAAAGCTGATTTTGATATTATTACGATTACTTATTAATGGTTGATCATGTTAATGCCGGAATTTGCCTCATTTTGGATTCGACCTTGACTTACTTTGTTGGACAAATAGTCCATAAGAACCATGATCTTTAACCCTAGAACACGAGTATCCACTAGTTTAATGCTCATATGTTTCCATTTGTGTTTCCTTTGATTTGACTTAGGATCTTTCTAGCTCTTCAAAGGCCACTGAACATAATTTAGTATACTGCTCTGCTATAGGAGTGTTTAGGGAATTGATAAGCTAATTCACATGGTTGCTTATTTCTCAAGTTGCCCGACTAAGCTAAAGGCTACTATAGTTTCTAGGGTTCTTTGATGAATGCTTCATATATTTTGCGATATGGCTAAATATTTCTTGATTATGGAAACAAACATTAAGTTAACAATGTTTAAGTTTAGTTGTTTCTTGTATTTGCATCATAATAAATTTATTATTCTTTGTTATCTTGATGTATATATTTCTCACATCATAAAATCATCAAAATAGTTTCTCGTTTGTCCACAATTGGCTAATTTAGTCCCAGAGTATGATATTTCTTCAATTTAGTATTCGGACTTTAGAAAATTCATCCAATAATACCCCTCATATAGAAATCATGATACAAAATTGATCTCATTTTAGTTGATGCCGGATCATTTTTGATAACTTTTATATAGTTGAGTGACTAAATTGGAGAGATGTGATATTCTTGGACTAAATTGGTCACATATAAATTAATGAGTGACAATTTTGAGATTTAACCCTTTAACTCTATTACTATTACTTCATATTCATTACAGACTGATTATCTACTTTATAAAAGGAAAAATGATCAAATTAGTCCATTGACTTTTTATGAAGGACCAAAATGGTCCCCAACTATATTAAAAGATCATTTTGATCCCTCAAGTCTTTAAAAAGAAACAAAATAGTCTAAGTGACGTAATTATTTTGGTTTCTTTTTAATGAATTGAGAGTCTAAAATTGTTGTTTAATATAGTTGGGGACTAGTTTAGTCTTTCATAAAGAGTAAATGGGCATCATTTTCTCCATTACAAAATGCATGCTTGACGTCAATTTTGAAGTACTAGAGATTCCATTGGCATAAATTTAAATTTATATGTTTGTTAACATGCATATAATATAGAACTATGTAGCTTTGGATGTATGTTGACTTTTCTTTGGTCTCTCTTTTTTTATAAAGCTTACTATAATTTCCTAATTATATTTTTACCTTGTCTTCATTTCCTTTGCATGTTTTTTTTTTGTCCATTTCCTTTAGCTGATTATAATTTAAGATCTTTTTATTGATATTTTTAATAGGTTCAACGTTAATGCTATGACATGCAACTTGCTTTTATTCATTTGAATATAATATTTTTTCATTACACAAATTGCAATACTTCTACTTTTTTTTTTCATATCCTTATAAATTTTCTCAGTCAACCATTGGAAATTCATCTCATGACCGGATCATCTTCAGTTTGTCTCACTTTCCTAGCTAGTATATTAAAATTAATTTAATTTAACCTTTTGTCCAGTTTACTTGGTTTATACTTGATGCAACATTTGTATTCTTATGTAGGATTTGAATGCGGCATATCACAATCTGGCTGCGATGTACTCTGAGTTCTTTGGAATTCCTCATATGTTTGCAGTTGTCCAACTTATTGGTCTAAGATCACTACCCTGGATTATAAGAGCTATATTGGATCATATAGCGGTGAAGGTAAACTCAAATTTTGTAATATGCAACAGAAAGTTAAATGCTAAAAGAGTATGTCTATTTGGATTTTTTTCGTACAAAAGGATGCTGAATTAAATGTTGGTGATAAAATCTTTATATCTTCTCTCTAGAATCATACTTATTTCCATCAAAAAGAAATGCAACTCTATTCTTGTTAATTTATTTGGAGTGCAGGATAGCGCCAATTTGATTTACTATTTGCTTTTTATGTTCTCTTTGATTACTGATGCTTATCATTCAGTTTTGGTTTCTATGACTGGTAACATCAACGCCATTGTTAGCCTTGTCCTAATTATTTTGATGTCTGCTATAAATTCGTTTTATTTTTTTGCTAGTTATTCCTATTAAGGGCTACATATAATGTTTACCATAGTTATGCAATTTTTTCTGAACATTTGTCTACGTTAGCATTGGTCTACTTTCCTTTATGATTTTTACCTTAATTTATCTTGTTGCGTTATTGTTGCACCTTTTTTTCTTTGTGCAAATTTTCAAACTACCTTCATCTATTTTATATAACCTTTCTTCAATGGATACTATACATATTGCAGTTTTTCGCACCATTCTTCTTAGATTTTCCACACATCCATTTCAATATTTTTATTTCTACCACACTTAACTCAATTATTTCTGCAACCCTGTGTTTCTTCATCTAAGGGTATCTTATAAACATTAGATGATTTTTTTTAGCGGATAATTTCAAGTCAACTTTAGCTAATATATGGCTCTGTTCTCCATCAAGTACACCCTATGATTCATTATTTAAGAGTTTATAGCTATTGCAAAACTTAAGGGCTTTGGCATTGAATGTAATTTAATGTTTTCAATTTGTGGTAAAACCACCTATTTAGAGGACTCTAGTCATACTATTTTTCTTTGATGTTATTTGGCGCAAAATTAGAGGTTAGAAGACATGTGCCACATCCTTACTAGAAATAGGTTGCTTGAGAATGAATCATAGTGAGACACGTTAAGATATTTGTTCTTTATGAGCTGATGTTATTTCTAAATTTTTCACCCTTATCAAATGATTGTGAAGGTGATAGGAAACATTTGAAATTTCAAGTAAATCCTATCATTTTCAGAAAAACTGTGAGAAAACTCTTCCAAACTTTATAGGAAAAATCAAGAAATATGAAATTTTATTGTGATAATCATATTAACGGAGGAAAATAACAAGATATAATTGATCCTCAATTCGAGTGGAGGATCGATCTCTCCCAATCTCTAGACACCGCTAGAGCCCAAAGAAAACCCAAGGGATATCAAATTTCAGTCAAATTCCAGATTCCCTAACCCTAGGAAAACAAACTATTTAATGCATACAATCAAAAAGAAAATCTCTAAACAGTCCCTACATTCAAATTTTATTCCTAACTCCCTAAAGAATCTTTACAAATTGGCTCCTATGGACTTGCGGCTCGCGCGGCTCGTACAGGGAGGCGGAAGTCTTCCGGCAATTTGTGCACAGGCCGATCCCGTAGGACCGGTTGGATCGATCCAATAGACTGGTCTAACACAAGGTTGGAGTAGCTCCAGTAGAAGATAAGATTAGAGAAAGTCGCCTTAGATGGTTTGGTCACATAAAACGGCGGCCTTGCGATGACCCGGTTAGGAGAGTAGAGGTATTAGATTTGACTTATGTTAAGAAAGGTAGGGGTAGACCTAAAAAGACTTGGTTAGAAAATATTAGGAATGACCTTTCTTTATTAGATTTAAACGAGAATTTGACTTTTAATAGGACACAATGGAGAAAAAGGATTCATGTAGCCGACCCCACGTAGTGGGATAAAGGCTTGATGTTGTTGTTGTTGTTGTTGTATACTTATTTGACGCACTATTAGAGAATTTTTGTCATCCTCAATGGATTGAGATATTTTGTGATGGAGCATATCAGATAAATTATATATTATCCTGAATGATAAAAATATTATTTCACTATGGACTCAATAACAAAACTCACAACATGTGCTTTTAACAGAGATTTTTTCCTATTTAATATTTGATTAAATAGAATTTATTTTATTTTAGTGTATAGATACCTCGTGGGGGACTTGCCTTTATTGTTAATTACATCTCAAGCACGTGTTACTTGAAAACATTTTTTATTAAACTAGTGGTTTCTTTAGAGTCATTAAAATTTTGGCTAACATTTTATCTTTAAAAAATTGAGAAATTTTTGTTCATTATTTGGTCTTTGAAAATTTCAAGGGAGATGTGATTAACTTTAAATCAGATTTTAGGAATGAGAGTTAAAAAAGAAAATACAAAAGCATTTGATCATGAGGAAACTTAGAGGTATTTAAACTATCATATATTGGGTTTTACATTTTAAAATTAGATTTTTTTTTTAAGTTGATCAATTTGATTTAGAATGTTGGGACTTATATTTCAACAACATATATTGAAGAAAATGCTTGAAAGGTGAGAACTTATAAATGTGTTGGAGTCAACAACTTCTTCAAATCTTAAAGTTAAGATGAGGACTATTGAGGGTAGTTTCTTAAACATATTTCTAATAGATTGCAGCAGACTTAACAAACCTATATCTCATATGAGACATAAGTCATCCTGATATCTGGATTTACAACCCTGCCTGGAAAGGGCTATGAGTTAAACCCATTTAACTGATTTTAAAATCACGTAGGTTGGTCTCAATACGTATGAAGAGTAGGGAAGTTTACTTTGATTTAGAAGATAAGACTTACAATTTGATTTTTATTCCAAGTTTTCCTACCATGTGGGTATGTATATGCTGACTCACTGAATGCATATTTTTTTATTTGGTCCTCAAGTGAGGGCTTTTATATATAACATATTAGTCATGCATGATCGTTTTAATTTTGAAAACTGAGCTCATTATAATGAACATGCAATTTTTTTTTATTTAATTTAAAGAATTTGTTATCCTATGAATCTATGATTGATTTTAGATTACTTTGGCATTAATTGGTAAAAAAATTAGTTTTTTCCTAAGAGTCTACCTTATAACAAAATTCAATCTACTCTCAAGCAAAAACAATTAAAGAAACTTAAAAAAAAGTATGCATTTCTTATGCGCCGTCAGTAAACAATTAAAACATGCTTGTGTATATAAATCAACTAAAAAGAAAGTAAAGCATAATGTTTTATTATTACAATTATTATTAACAGTTGAGTTGTCTGCTATTATACAAACCCAGAAAAATTACAAACTCGACCTATGTGGTATTCAAGCTTTTGCTTTCAGATAAATTTAGGGCTTCAGCTAAAAATAGGTTTCTCCTTCTAATTCATCTCTCATGTAATTGTGTCCCACAAGTCCAAAGATACTTCCTAAATCTATCAAATACATTTAAAAATGTTAAAGACTCAAATTTGTAAAATAGAAAAAGGATTAGAAAGCGGGTTATATGGAAGAAATAAACATGCCAGAATTGATTAACATTTGAAATATCAAGCCTTATTTCTATCATATTAGTGATGCCTCCTTGGGAGTTTTAAGCAGTGCTCAAGCACTATTAAATAATCATGACTTATACCCCCTTTTGTACATAACCACATACAGAAAAAATAATTATATCTCTATCCTATCCACTCAATGGCAAGTGCCCGCATTGCAAATAATCTAATAAGTATCACACCACAACATCATCAACATGCGCAGAAAAAGAAAATTTGTTATCCTAACATGTCTAGGGGCTATGCACCTAAGTATATGTCGGTTGTATGCTGTAGGCAGTTTCTTGTTTCATTGGAGAATAGAGAATGTTCAATTTTAGTTTAGTGTTTTTATTTTATGTTGTTTGTGGCTAAAAGCTTTTATTTGATTTTTATTTGTTTTATATTTATATTTAGAAGAGTTATGAAGAACTCATAAAGCAACAACCTGCTTGTTTTGAGGCGAGCCTACTACTTAGGGAATCCTAAGATTCAATTATTAGGATTTTCACCTTTTGGGGTGGAATGACTAATCATTGTATCAAAAGTAACCTAAGTGACTTTTAGGAATTTGTTGTTCTCTTAGTGTTTGGATAAGAGAGAAATGTCCACTTTATAGGATAATGTAGATATTCCTAAGAGTTTGGTTTAGGATTTTGTTAAATTTATCTAATACGATAAGGTGAGTTTCAATAGAAAGAGGCTCTTAATGGACATCTAAGAGTTATTTTTTAAATGTCATAAGAAAAGAGATCACTTGTTTTGGTTAAGTGAAAAGATAACTTAGATCTTGAGTCTTAGTAGAGACGTCATCCACTTAACCAGGGATTAAATGGATGAAGGTGATGAAATATTTGAAGCTTTGAAGCTAAAGGTTGAAAGAGAAATTCCCTACAACTTTAAGGCTGAAGGGAATGGAAATTGGCTTTAGCTTTGAAATTAAAGAGAGAAAAATCTCCTAAAACTTTGAGGTTGGAGTAGATGAGATGAGGCTTATAGCTTTTAGGCTAAGGTTGAAATTCTTCTATAAGGCTTTTGGAGCCCATAGAAGTTAGGAAAGACTTGTAGCTTTGAGGCTACAAATCAAGAAGCAATTATTAAACTTTGTATTCCATGATGCATAATTATTTGCCTTGTTTGGGGTGACATTTAGATTTGTGTTATAAGTCACAATCAATCTCTTTGAACTTTTACTGTTCAAAGAGAGATGTTCATTCATTTAATTTAGACTAAGTAAATGGAGGAGACTAGGATTTGGATCCTATTTCTAAGAGGTCATTCATTGATTTTGTGTTCTAATGAATAAGATAGAAGACCTTAGATTGTGATTCTAAGTTCAAGAGCTTGTGGCATGTTGTATTTAAGATTTTAGGGAAATCCAAAATATCATGCATGAGGAAGATTGGTGATAGTTCTTTGAGGGATGCTAAGATTCATGCATTAAGGCATTTGAAACCTTGAGGAGGCTCTAAATGTCATGCATGAGGAATATAAATACTTGGAAGAGAGCTCTCTTTTAAGAGTGTTTTGGACTCATTTGGAGAGGGAAAGTTGGTTTCTAA